CTTTAGCTATTCTCCGTCTTTCGTGTAACGCTCGTTCTGGTTCTGTATCAAAAGAATATTTAGCTGAGGCCTGACCTCGCATACACAATTAGACAAGCGTTAGATAATACAAGCGGATAAAAGTTATGCAGTAAATAATAAAATTTTAGTCGCAGAGCAACAAAATTTCTTTTGGATTCTAAAAACAATGTTAATTTGGCAGTCCCCGGCAACGGCGCCAAAAACTTGATCAGGAAAATAGCAAGTGTACTATTTTTACCAATTGTAGTAATAAGGGAAAAGTCCCAAGTATCGATCTCGAGGACTGCGTAGTAATTAACGGGATTTTTAGGATTCAAAAGAACAAAAGGTCTAGTGGTTTGTTTGGTAGCAGAGTAATATAACTAGTAAATAAAGACTTATAAATCAATCTAAGAACAATGTTAGGGGAGTGGAGATGATGCGAGTAAAGACCATGTATGATTATTCTGCTATAATAGTTATTAACCTTAATTCATCAGTTGGCCAATTTAGTTTTCTTAATTCCTTAATGAAAACCCTTTGATGAGTTTCCTGTACACTAATTCCTCAGTGTCCATGAAAAGCATCAAGCAATAGTTCCGACCATAAAATACGTGATACGAGATATCCTCATTCCTAAGCAATATCGACCGTGATACTATTTTGCAAAAGTGTTAGGTTGACTTTCCAGATTAAAACCTAAGCATAATTCGCATTCTACTTTCCAATATGAATACGCGTTAAGATTAATGCAAAATAAAATATATAAGGTGAATAACATAGTTCTAATAGAATAATCAAATAAAAGTCATTACATCGCAACTTAGGACCACCCCCTAACAACTTGGGGTTTAGCTGCTCATGTTCTTTGTAAACATAAAAGCAATTAGAAATGAAAAGGAGAAGATCATTACAATGCGAGTTGAAATCCTTGGATCATCCATTGCTTCCGCTTTTGATCGATCCTTTATTTTTCAGCCGAACTCTCCTCTCAGTTGTCAATCCTAATATCAGTTCAAAAGTGTCTCCTACTTTCTAAAAAGTGACTCTTATATCTAAATTCAAATTACATCGCGAAATGTCTCAAATTCCCTTCGAAATAGGTCTGACAGCAAAAAATCAGAAAATATAACAATTTCACTCTCAGTGGCCCTGACACGGGCCATGTTGTGCAACACGGGTGGCCGTGTCAGGCTGCTGACTTCTTCAGGGTGTGTTTCCATCTCCAAGGGCTGCAACACGGGCCGTGTTGCATGACACGGGCACCCGTGTTGTACGTCTGATTCTCCTTTTCTTCTGCTTTGGTCTACTCATGTCTGCCAACCGTGTCCTCCATGACACGGGCCGTGTTGTGCAACACGGGTACCCGTGTTGTAGCTCTGACTTCCCTTTTCCGACTTTTCTTTGCCTCCGAAAGCGGTGCGACTATCATGCTATCCATTTCTGCCAAAAACACACTAAAAGAAACCGAATCAAACGCACCAGCGGCAAAAGTAATACAAACTTAAAAATAAGACTTGAAGACACACAACTACGAGTAATTCAGATACTAACAACTAAAGCTTCGAAAACAGATAAAAACATTGCGAAATTAACAACAAATAACGTTTGAAAACACAAGTGAAATCCACCGATCAATTACCATTAGTGTAACAATCTTAATTGGGAAAGAATTGGCAAAATATAGCCATGTAGCTATTTGTTTGGTGTTGATATTGAAGAAGCATTTGAACTTTAAAACATAAAAGAAAAAAGAAGCACAAGGCAGAAATTATTTTGCTACAAATTAACTAAGATTGTAGCTACATATTAGCTATGAATTTTTATGGGTTCAAGTATAATATTGACCTTAGACACGTGATATGCCACTTCATCATCTTTCCCATATTGACACTGCCACGTGCAAGCCCAATCATCAAAAAAATTCCACGTGGCAATGTCACATCAGCTTCTGTTAATGGACATTGACATGAGAGACCAAAAATATGGACGGAAAATATTAAGAGGATTATTCTTTGGAGAAAATTTTTTGAGGGACTAAAAGTAAAAAATGACAATATTTATGAGGACCAATAACTTATTTAACCCTAAATTATCCAATATGATTTTTTCTCATAATTCATTATTTGGACTTGTAACCAATTAGTTATATGCAAAAAATATTTTTTGAGGATTTTATCAAAGAGAAAATGTCCTCAAAATTATTTTTGTGAGCGTGTGGGAGTTTTCATAATAACTTATGAGTTACTCTATCTTTTTATAATACTCTGGTCACTCACACATTGCGCTAAGCACACGACTGACCAAACGAGCTTTCACATTTCTTCTCTTTTACAATCTTGAAGCTTCAAGATCCTTGCTACATTATATTTGACTTTAGCACTTCATAGAATTTTGAATATTCTCTCTAATTAGGTTTGAGATAGCTTCAGGATGAGAAACATCATCAGAGACAAATGTAAGCAAATAAATCCATATCTTAATTTTCAAGCACCATCACTTAGTCAATACATTAAGCATCATCACATGATCAACATATTAAGCACCATCACTTAATCTACATATCAAGCACCATAACTTGAACACAATATCAAGTACCATAACTTAATCCACATATCATATGATATCATATGAACTAACAGACATTGAACAACAAGATTGGCGAAGACTTCTCTTAAGAGCGTTGTCAACATTAAAGTCAAACAGATCGCTACATACTCTATATTTCAAAGCATATTCATATTTGTTGAATTAATATCATGACTTTAGAGGGAGATATTGATATCTTCAAGAGCAAGACATTTAAGTCCGACATTTAAGTCCTTATCGTATTGAATAACATTAACATTTGGTATCAATTTCTTTGAAATACTCCAAAGGATTTTTTTTCACATAATCAATAGTAGTTACTTTATTCTCTTTAGAAAATTAAGTTCTAAAATCAGAGTTTGGAATATAGAAAACATGGATTTCATGTCTTCATTATCTTTCAATTTAAACAATTCATATTTCCATGTCAAGGAGTTTTCCTTGAACTAGTTAACTTTTTTGTTTCTTTCGTAGTTGAGATATAAAGAATCATAACGTTTTATTTTTGTGTCTTTATCAGGATTTTTTCCAATGTCATTAAATGTAATAAATTTCATAAGTAAACATATGACCTTATGATGCATCTTGTATTATTTTTCTGCCTATGATAAATTTCCATTATTGTTAACAATATGCCAACATTGTGTAACCTTCTAATATTGTGTCTCAAAGTTCTAAATATTGAGATCTGAAAAAACTTAAAAAATTGCCTTTCTAATAGTTAAAATTTTCACCACCAAATATAAGAGATTGTTTTTCTCAAAGATATATTGATAAGTATTCAAATACGAGATCGAAGCTCTAATGCTAACTAAAGTGAAAAAAATACAAAAAAAAAAAAGAGATTTAAATTGTGTTGAAGTTATATATATATATATATATATATATATATATATATATATATATATATATATATATATATAAATATATATATATATATATATATATATATATATATATATATATATATATATATATATATAATTTTTAGATTAAAAATCAAGTCAAACACAAATACATAAGACAAATAGATAGACAAGAGAGATAAAAAAAACGTAACATATATCTTGGTTCACCCAATTATCTGGAGTTATCTCTAAAGAGAGTTACTATATCTAAATAATTCTTTTATTGGTATAATTAAATAAAAATATATTAATACAAATAATATTATAGTATTTGATTTTATCAAAAATATTTATTTATTTAATTAAATCAGCTCAGTTGATATTTATGCAATAAGAAATTAGATTGAAATCCATGACATATTATTTTTAAAGTGAATTTCAACTACAAAATTATTTGATAAAAAAAATCTATTTATTTTCATATACTTTTGTTATTATTATATAATTTAAATAATATTTAAGTTATTTACGAACAATGTCTCTCTAACCCATCGTTCCCTTCCGCTTTTGCCTTTCCATCTCAGAAACAAGCTGCCGTCGCACTGAGCTCAATTGTCTGCCGGAAAACGAAATCCGCCGGAATCTGCAGGTGGAGTCAGTCACCGGCATCCCTAAAATCCAGGTTTTCCACTTTAACTATTTTTTCAGAATTTTCTTACCATCATTTGGTGCGCGCGCGAGGATGGGATGCGATCCAGCTCAAAAATGCTTCCTATCACAGTGTTTGAAATTTCAATTTTGTATTAAGCAATATGCAAATCGATGAAAACTCACTCGATTAAATTCAATTTATCAAAATTTTAGTACGTTGATTGTTGAATAAAAGCTGGTACACTATCTTCAAATATTGATTGGAAATGTTTTAATTTTCAGTACAAAGTTTACTGTTCTAATCAATTTCGTTATATCTGCTTGAATTTTGTATCTTATGCTATTGCTTAATGCTTGATTAAGATCTTGATTGAAACTATTGTTGTTGATGTTGAGTAGATGCCATTGGTTTTTTTATATTTTTTTTTCCATTTTCGTTTCCCTTGATAATGATGCTTGGTTAGTTATTTGAAGTGTTGTCAAATAGTGAAAATAACTGCGTTATAATTGCGTGATTTAGTACAAAGTGTTGTCAAATAGTGAAAATAACTGTGATTTAGTACAAAGTGTTGTCAAATAGTGAAAATAACTGTGTGATTTAGTACAAAGTGTTCAAATAGCAGCTATAGCATTGTAATGTAGCATAATTTGAACAAGCTGCCACTTTTTGAAACCATGGTTGACAACCCTAGTCATTAGCACATAACATGTTTTGTGATATTTCAAGTTGGCTCTTTAGATTATTAGTTTGTTTTCCTTGTTGGTTGTTCATGGAAGAATTTTTGCTTGACAGTTCAGGTTGAGCATGTTAAGGCTTAGCTGTTGGACTTGCACGCGACCTTGATGTGCACTTTTTGACACATAGAATTGTAGTTATCCTGGTACTGTTATCATTGAAGATAGAGAGGGGAAATGGGTAAACTAGCTCTTACAGCAATAGTGAGCTCATGGGTTGTTCCTATCACCATAATGGTCAATCACATAGTTACTGAGCCATATATGGTAAGAAAAAGTATATTAACTTGGAAATAGACAGCTGCAGATATTTAAAATGACTACGAAGAATTTTACCATTCGTTTGTTATAACTGATATCCATGATTTTCAGGATGAGATATTTCATATACCACAGGCTCAGCAGTATTGTAAGGGAAATTTTGGAAGTTGGGACCCTATGATTACCACCCCTCCTGGCCTGTATGTTCTGCTATCTCTTTACGAAACATTTGATCTCGGTAGCTTATATTATACTGCTTTTCGGTAATAAATGTTGGTGCAAAGGTAGAATAAATGATGAAAAGAGAAATATTCTATTAAAAGAATGACGGCTACACACTACTACAAATAACAATGATTGCAACCCTATTTATAAGTTAAAACTAGGGTTACTAGAATAAGATAAAATACTAAAATACCCTCTAACAAAATTAGGGGCTAAGAAAATAGTACAACTAATTAAATATGAATTACTTCTAATATCATCCCTTAATTCATATTCCATCAAAACTTGTAACACCAATTCCATCCTTTAATCTGAGAAATTGATCAGTCTTGATAGCTTTCGTCAGAGCATCTGCCAACTGTTTCTGAGTGCTGCAGTGTACAACTTCTAACACTCCACTCTGAACTTGATGTCTCAGAAAATGATACTTGGTCTCAATATGCTTGCTTCTCCCATGCAACACTGGGTTTCTGGCAAGATTGATTGCAGACTTGTTGTCAATCATCAACTTCAGAGGTTTGTTTATCTTAATCTTCAGATCCTGCAACAGATTCAGAATCCACACAGCTTGGCATGCAGTAACAACACCTGCAATGTATTCAGCTTCACAGGTTGATAACAGCACAACAGGTTGCTTCTTAGAACACCAAGAAATGGGACCTCCCAGAAATTTGAACAAGTACCCAGATGTACTTCTTCTGTCAACTCTGTCTCCACACCAATCAGAGTCTGAATAACTCAGAAGTTCTGACTCATCTTTTCTTCTAGAAGGAAACAACACTCCATATTTCAGAGTTCCCTTGATATACCTCAAAATCCTGACAGCAGCTTGATAATGGGACCACTTAGGTTTACTCATGAACCTACTAACCATCCCAACAGAATAACAAATATCAAGTCTGGCATTGCACAGATACCTCAGAGAACCAACCAACTGTTTGAAGGTTGTAGCGTCCACATCCTTTCCATCAGAGTTAGAATCCAGTTTCTGATTTGTATCAGAAGGTGTGACAACAATCTTACAATTCTTCAGTTCAAATCTCTTCAGAAGTTCTAATTCATACTTGAGCTGATGCAAAATGATACCTTTCTCAGAATATCTGAACTCCATCCCTAGAAAGTATGTCATTTTGCCTAGATCAGTCATTTCAAATTCATTCATCAGAACTTTCTTGAACTTGGCTATCTCCTGTTCAGAACTTCCAGTCAATAGTATATCATCAACATATAAACATACCAGAGTCATATTGCCTTCAGAAGTATGCTGAACATAGACACCGTACTCCATCTCACATTTCTGAAAGCCTTGCTTCTTGAAAAATGAATCAATCTTCTGATTCCAAGCTCTGGGCGCTTGTTTCAGTCCATATAGAGCTTTGTATAATCTGTACACCATCCCTTCCTGATTCTTTTTCACAAATCCAGGAGGTTGTGACACATAAACTTCTTCTAATGGACCGTTCAGAAATGCAGATTTTACATCTAAATGCATCATAGGCCAATTCCTATTAGCAGCTATTGCAATCACCATTCTGATTGTTTCATGTCTTGCTACAGGTGCAAATACTTCAGAATAATCCAGCCCAGGTTTCTGTAGAAATCCTCTGGCTACCAACCTTGCTTTATATTTGCCAATTGAACCATCTGGCTTTAACTTCTGCTTGAAAACCCATCTGACGCTGATGGCTTTCTTGTCTTTTGGAGGTTCTGTCAGCTTCCAAGTCTTGTTTCTCTCTATAGCATCAAGTTCTTCTTTCATGTCCTTCAGCCAGAGCTTCTGCTTAAGAGCCTCTTCTGTACTTATGGGTTCAGAGTCTACTATCATGACACACTGAATAATTTCTCCTTCAGAGTCTACTTCAGTGTCTTGCAGCATGTCAAATTCTGCATATCTTCTGGGGACGTTTCTGATTCTTTGTGGTCTCTGAACTTGTTCAGAGTCTTGAGCTTCAAATGATTGACTTCCTCCAGAGTTTTGACCATCTTCAGGGTCTGACATATTTCCAGAGTCTTAAACTTCAGAATTCTAGCTTCAGAGGCTTGACTTCCTCCAGAGCCTTGGCCATCTTCAGAGTCTGAATTGCCACCAGAATCTGGATTACCATCAGAGTCACCTTCATCTTCTGAGTCTTCTCCAGAGTCAAAATCACTATCAGAGTCAGAATCATTGTCAGAGTTTACTCCAACTTCAGAAATTCTTAACTCTGACCTTTCTTCAGAAGTTCTAACATCAAAATCAGATTGAGACTTATCCCAATTCCAAACTTCTGATTCCTTCACAATCACATCTCTGCTGAATTCAATTTTATTGGTGTCTGGACAATAGAGCTTGTACGCACCTGTACTGTGGTACCCTATCAGAATCATCACTTTGCTTCTATCATCCAGCTTCTGTCTTCTGGCTTTTGGAACATGTTTATAGCAAACAGAACCAAACACCTTCAGATGACTAACACTTTGCTTATCTCCAGTCCACTTCTGTATTGGAACTATTTCCTTCAACTTCTTCGTAGGACATCTGTTGAGTACATACGTTGCAGTGGCAACAGCTTCTCCCCAGAGCTTCTGAGGAAGCTTCTTCTCCTTTAGCATGCTTCTCACCATATCAAGCAAAGTACGGTTTCTTCTTTCAGCAAAACCATTGTGCTGAGGGGTATAAGGAGCAGTAACCTCATGCTCAATTCCATTCTCTTCACAGAGCTTCTGGAACTCTTTGGAGTTATACTCACCTCCACCATCAGTTCTAAGAATCTTCAACTTCTGACCACTCTGATTCTCAGCCTTCATTCTGAACTTCTTGAATTCATCAAACACCTCATGTTTAAACTTAATAAGGGATACCCATGTCATTCTTGTGAATTCATCAACAAACAACACAAAGTATTTATTCCCTCCAATTGATGCTACTGGAAATGGACCACACACATCAGAATGTACAACTCCCAAGGCATGTTTTGCTCTTGGAGCAACTTCTGACGCAAATGGAAATCGTGGTTGTTTTCCTTCCATGCAAACTTTGCATGACTTTTCAGGCTTCTTAATTGCAGGAATTCTGTGTACCAACTTCTTTGAATTCAGATGTTTTAACCTTCTGAAATTCAAATGACCAAATCTTCTGTGCCACAGTTCACTCTCCTTCTCAGCACTTGTTGCACTAAGACATTTTGAGTCTGCAGTTCTGACATTCACCTTGAATGTTCTATTACTTCCCTGTTCTGACTCCATAATCAACTTCTGATTGCAGTCATACAGTTTCAGAAGATTGTCCTTCATGGTAACTGAAAAACCTTTCTCAATTAATTGTCCCACATTCATCAGATTGCTTTTGATGTCAGGTACATACCACACGTTCTGAATCAATGCTGTTTTCCCATTGTTCAGAATCACTCTAACATTTCCCATACCTTCTGCATTAAGATATTTGTCATCAGCACATCTGATCTTTGTTCTCTTTTCAGAGTCAAAGTTAACCAACCATTTCTTGTTTCCAGTAAGATGATTTGAACAGGCAGTGTCCATATACCACCAGTCTATCAGATCCATATTATCAGATTCAGAAGCCATCAATAGCACAGATTTGTCATCAGAACTTCTGGCTATATTTGCTTCTTCTGATTTTCTCTCCTTGTTTGACCAACAATCTCTAGCAAAGTGACCAAACTTCTTACAACAGTAACATTGGATCTTCTTTTTGTCATATTTCTCTTTTCTCTTCTGAGCATTCTTTTGTCTATTAGAGGTTGAACTTTCTGACTTCTGACCACCATCAGATCTTCTCCTGGCTTCTGACTGCTTCTGATACCTCCTATCAGAAGTTACTTTCAGAGCCTGCTGCTCTACTTCCTTTTCAGAGGTTCTCTCAGTTAAACGCAACTCTTGCGCTTCTAGACTGCTCTAGAGCTCTTCAATTCTCATGGTGCTCAGATCTTTGGAATGTTCTATTGCTACCACAATGTAATCAAATTAAGGGGTAAGGGATCTCAATACCTTCTCAATGATTGCTTCTTCAGAAAGAGTTTCTCCACACGCCTTCATCTCATTAGTGATCAGAATCATTCTGGAAATGTATTCAGAGACTTTCTCATTATTCTTCATGTTGAGATTCTCATATTACTTTCTCAAGGACTGAAGCTTCACCTTCTTCACTGATGCGTCACCACCATAACATCTCACCAGTGTGTCCCACACATCCTTTGCTGTTGTTGAATCTGCAATCTTTTCAAACACATTTACATCCACACATTGATGAATGAAGAACAATGCTTTCTGATCCTTCTTCCTTACTTCCTTCTGCGCATTTTTCTGTTCATCTGTTGCATTTGCTGCTACTGGAACATAACCATCAGTGACAAGATCTAGAACATCTTGAGCACCAAACAGTACACGCATTTGGATCATCCAACGATTCCAGTTTTTACCGTCAAATACTGGAAGTTTGGTGTTCATGTTGCCGTTTCCGTTCATCTTCTACCTTGCACAGTACACTCAGATTTCTCACACAGTGTTTCTCAACCCACAGAATTAAAATTCTGATCAGATTTTGTTCAAGATTCAACACGAATCTAAGAATCAAAATCAAACACACAAGACCTCACGTTCACTCGTGTTTCCCGTGTTTCCCAATAAATCTGAACCGGAGCTCTAGATACTAATTGTTGATGCAAAGGTAGAATAAATGATGAAAAGAGAAATATTCTATTAAGAGAATGACGGCTACCCACTACTACAAGTAACAATGATTGCAACCCTATTTATAAGTTAAAACTAGGGTTACTAGAATAAGATAAAATATTAAAATACCCTCTAACAAACTTAGGGAGTAAGAAAATAGTACAACTAATTAAATATGAATTACTTCTAATAATAAACAGAGCTTTTCTATAGTAAACTGCCTTTGGATGTTAGCTCATCAGGTAATGAACAAAGCACCTTGCTTGAAAGGCTTAGATTCACTTCTCGTACACTTAATTCAAAAATTAAAAAATCTGCTTATTGTGATGAAATGAAAAGTGAATGGAAAGAACACATCATAGGATGAAGAACAGAAAATATGCATTCATTCAGAAACAGTTAACTAGATAGTAGATACCAATTTTTGGCTCGTGCAAAAATTTCATTTCATTACACTATATATTAGTTTGACTTTTTGTGATTGTGTACTGAATATATCCCATATAAGCAGTCGGAAAGGAAGCAGTTGTAGGAATATATTAAGCACTCTTGATGAAAGAAAACTATTAACTCTTAATCTAGCAATTTATAACTGGATGGTTTATTGTTTGATCCTACTGTAGTATGATTAATAAATGAATAATCATACAAATGGAAACATCTATAAGGTTACTTAATGAATATACAGTTATGTTGAAATAGTAAATACATAATACACATCTGGAAAAGAACTTGGGCCATTTTGAATAATTAAAAATTCTGAATGTTTGCGAAACTCTACAACTTTCTGGCTCTACTAGAAGATAATATTTGAACTACTGCTTAAATTTGAAGATCGGGAATTTGAGTTAACTTAAACAATTTTACCTAGATTGTTCAAATTATCATTGTAATGTAGCATAAACCTAATATTGTAGTAACTACCACTGTTGATCTTTCCAATATAAAAACTTTTGCAGGTACTATCTTTCACTTGCCTATATTACTTCTTTGTTTCCAGGCTTATACTCTGTAGAAGCTGCTTCATCATTTTTGGATGTGTGCTCTGCTTCCTTTCTTCGATCAATCAATGGTGTCTTAGCAATCACATGCAGCATAATTCTATATGACATCATTATTCACTTGAAACCAACTCTCGGTGACAGAAGGGCAATGCTTCATGCAGTTGTCCTATCCTTGTACCCCCTTCATTGGTTCTTCACTTTTCTTTATTACACAGATGTCGCATCCGTTACTGCTGTGCTGGCTATGTATCTTGCAAGTTTGAAAAAGGATTACTGGTTAAGTGCATTGGTAAGGTATATTTAGATTTTTATGTTACAAACATGTATATAATTTGATATCTAGATTTAACTTGGTGTATATATTGTTTTTTTTTAGTTCATTTATTTTAATATCATGTGATTACAGATACAGATGCCTAATAATTATAACATGATATTTGTTACTGTCTTACTGATCATACTTACGGCACGGAGCCACAGACCTCGTTTGTTTCTTATTAAGATTAAGATACATTTGTATTGTACATATAACTAGGGGAAAAATGTACTCTTATCATTATTGGAAGACCCACTATATTCAAGATATACTTAGTTAATTCCTCATGATCATCTGATTCCAGAAAAAACTCTATAAAAACCATTTTATATTATGTGAATTAGTTTTATTTTTATTGCTATTCTTAGTTTAAATGGGTTTTCTCTATCTTTTTTCTGCTCTATGTTTACTTCTAGTCTAGATTATAAACTTTTAAGTCAATTTTTCTTCGTTGCCTTTTTTATGTATGATGATGAGCAGGTCTAGACACTCCCTATGTGTGGACTATTTCACCTTTAGCACTGCAGCATATAAAGATAATTCTATACATAATTGTATTTTATAGAGTGGCAATAACACATCCAATATTGTTTATGTAGGTTGGAGCCTTTGCAGTTGTTGTTCGACAAACAAATATTATATGGGTGCTTTTTGTCGCGTGCATTGGTATAATTGATATTTCTCTGATGCGTGGGAAGGGCAATGCAATAACAGCAAAGTCAGATGTATCAGTTGAGCATGATTTCACATATGCTACTGGTACAAGCGCAACAGGTTTAAATCTTAAAAGGAGAAAGTCTGTTAAAACTGTAAATACTTCCGAGTACTCTTTGCCTAGGATAATTGCATCTTCTCCTTCATTCTCTTCAGGTTTGCTTGAAAGCCGCAAGGTCTCTTTTATGCTCAAATACATCAGAAAAATAATAAGAAAATGAGGTCTCTTTTATGCTCATACACATAACTTTATTTTGCAGATTTGTTTGATGAAATTTGGGCAGCCCTTTTAATAATATGGCATATGAAGTTGGAACTTTTAATTTCGTTTAGCCCCTATCTCATGGTGTTGATAGCCTTTCTATTATTTGTGTATTGGAATGGAAGTATTGTTCTGGGTAACATTCTTTTTCTTGTTATCCCTTGTGATATTTTTGGCCCATAAGACCCTCTTTCTAACATATCTTACTGACAACGCAGGTGCAAAAGAAGCACACCCTGTTTCCCCACATTTTGCTCAGATACTATATTTTGGTTTAGTTTCTATTTTGGCTCAGGCTCCCATGCATTTCACTTTCACCCATGCTGTGGACATGTTTCAGTCATTTTGGAGAAGTAGGCCCCTTAGTTACATTCATATGTTCCTGGCTCTTATTGCTGGCATTTTGTCTGTACACTTTTTCAGGTTAAATCTGACTCATATCACCAACTAAGTAACAAGCAGAATCTCTATTTTCATGTTTCAATAATGAAGTGCATATTCTGATGAATTCAGTCATATTTCCAATTCCAAAAGCATTTTATTCTAATATTCTATTATTGCATGCATGTTACATTATTCTCACAACACTTACTCACGAAGCTCAACTTAATCTAAATCTCTAGTACAAGAAAATTAATATTTATGATGCATTCTAAGACATGATTAATGTCAATTGTTTTGCTGACTGAGTGCCTTTCAATTGGTTTTTGCAGTGTAGCACATCCATACCTTCTTGCCGATAACCGACATTACCCTTTCTATCTCTGGAGGAAAATAATCATGGCTCACTGGTCAATTAGATATCTTCTGGTCCCAGTTTACATGTATTCATGGCTTTCAATCATCCATATGCTGGGTTAGTTCATTTCCAAACTAAGTATTTTGTTTCGTTCAATTGCTTGCGCGATTACAACAATCATTTTTTCTCAAACAGGTAAAGTTAGAAGTAAATTATGGATATTGGCATTCTTCTTGGCTACAGCTGCTGTTCTTGTACCAGCTCCACTCATAGAGTTCAGATATTACACCATACCATTCTATTTCTTGGTGCTTCACTGTAACATAAGGGATGATCCACATTGGCTTCTTACAGGGATGATATATGTTGGGGTCAATATCTTTACAATGTTAATGTTTTTGTTTAGGCCATTTCATTGGGATCATGAGCCTGGGATTCAAAGGTTTATATGGTGAATTAATTTATCAGCCAAAAAAAAACTCGGTGTTTACTTTATTGTAGCATTATTGTAGTTAAAAAAAACTATGCCTTTTGTGCCAATATCATTTTTGAAAACTTTATATAAAATGGCATTATAAATTAAAAAGTTAAATGTCCTTAGTTTGTGGATCTTTGGATTTAGTCTCTGTTAAAAATAAAACACTGGCGTTATTTTACTATAAATCATTCCAAATGTTTTGACAATTCCAAATGCTTGACAATGGTTTGTTAGTTGTGGATTTCTTTATCAAAAGGGCTAGATAATAAGGACTATTTAGGAAGGGTGGTTGAAAATTATTAAAGGTCTATATGTGCATTGTGAGTTTATTTACCAATTCTAAAGTCTATTTCTTAAAACCATATTCATATTTAAATATTCAATTCATAAAAATCCATTTTTTAATTTACATATTTCCTAAATATTCATTATTTATTATCCATTCTCTATCATCCATATTTTTAAATCCATTACGTCCAAATCATTTCCAATTATCCATTCACTCATCCAATTTCCAATGTCCAAATTATTTTCAATATTCATTATCATTTATTCCATTCATATTCATTACCAAATTTTTTTTTTTAAAAAGAACAATATATTCCAAGATCCATACAATCATTACACCAAACAAATGCCAAACAATCATTACACCAAACAATTGCCGGAAAAAAATGAAGAAGAACAAGCTCATAGAAGCAAGCTAACACGACACATCTTCTTGTTGCACACAAGCTATTTACAGCTGCTACCACATGAACTCACAAACTTCACAAAGCCTTCAAGCCGCCATACGCCATCCTTCATTAGCCTACAACCAAGCCACTTCAAACTTCATGCTACGAGATGCTACGCAAGCCAGTCACTACAACCTTCAGCGAGCAAAACAACAAGCTGACCCCACACTACTACAACTGCTACTACCTTCAGCCATTTCAAAAAGCAAATGCGTCACGCACATGAACAAGGCACAAAACGAAAACGACTGCAAACACAACCCGCAAATGCACAAAACGACTTGCTGCTACTCAATATGCAAAACGATGTCACACGAAATACAATTCAAAACGGAAGCATAACTCCATTCAATTTCATTTCAAATTGATTCTAAAACTCTATAAATTAGAGCTCAATCCTTCACAATTTTTCAAGCTTCCAAAGCCACTAAACCCCTTGTAAAATATCTGCAGAAACAATTTCATAAGCTTCAAATCTCCATTCAACCTTAAGCTTCAATTCCAAAACAAAACCGAAAATTCTTCCATCCATTCACTTAATACCAAACCTCAACCATATCAATCATCTTCAAAGATTCAACAATAACACAACAACAATTCCGAACCAAGCCAAAGAGTAGGATCAAGAACGCTGTGAAGAAATCGTTAACTGAGTTTCCCTTTGCCGTGCAACTCGAGCCGTCGAGGTAGATTTTCTTGCCTTCGATTCAGGAGCTTGATAGGAATTCGGTTGAAATTGATGAAGAGGTTGAAATAAGGAAGGTGAGGCGAGCGAAGTGAGAGCACTGTGGCCGCCACAGCCGCCGCCGTGAGGCGTGCCGGCGCGGCGACGTGTTGGTTGTGGTAGCAGACGAGGAAGGAAGATGTATACTGGTGTGAGCTGATTTGTTTTGGCTTCAAATATTGCCTTCTCTTGATTCCACTTGGGCTAGGCCCATGAAGAATTTCTTCTAACACGTCCTTATCACTACAAGCACCTCCTCTCCTTCTTACTTTTTTTTTCTAATTTTTCTTTTTCTTTCATTTTTTTTGCCTTTTCATTTTTGTGACAATTTCTTGTCTTTTGGATTCAATTGATTTGATTAGTTAATCATTTTTATTTGTTTTGGAGTAGGATAATTTCAACTTAAGAATTCATTAGTTGAGATTTTAAAGAAGTTTAATATTCAATGTTTCAAACATGTGATTGAATGATTATTGAATCATCTTTACACTTTGAGGTATTGATAGGTTGCTTTATCAGATCACACTTGAAATTTTTGTTGATACTTGATTCCACTTCTTTCTTTTTTCTTTTTTTTCAAGTGTGTATTTTCGGAGATTAATTCTCTAACACACTTTTTAATGCATAAAGTTTATTTGACCAACCTCCCATAGTACGATCTTTCTAATAGATTGTGCTATGATTACTTAACATAGCGCTATATTGGTCCCGAATCGACAACAACTAACGATTGACTCTTAACTCCTAACATTTATCTTATTACCTTAACATTTCCGCAATTTAATTCTTGTCATTTATTTTCTTGCTCTTTACTTTTATACTTTTACTTTTAGCATTTACATTTTATATTTATATTTTTTTTCCTTTGTCCTATTGTACCTTTTCTTTTTCTTTTAAAGACATTAATAAAGAAAAAACATCTAAAAACTTTAATCTATTTTAGACTAATGGTTACTATCCTTTGCTTGACTTGGAGTTTGACCAATGGACTTAAAATTTGGGTTTCCTATTGTCGCAACTGCGAAAAACCACTGGCGAAAAAACAGAGTCACCACCAAATGTTATTTATCCCGAATGGGAAAAGGAAACGATCGAAGAAACCTCAAAAAGGGAAAGAGCATGGTCTCTCAACCAAATCCTAAGTTTGAGAGTCGAGTGCGCGAGAGGAAGGTGTTAGCATCCCCTCGCGTCCGTTGTACTCAACAAGATCCACTCTTGTTGTTCTAATCAAATGGTGTGTTTATCTAAAGCCTACTAGCTAAGTGAAACAAAAACGAAAAAAAAGGAGACTCGATAGGACTTCGTTGTCCTAGGCCTACGTATTCCCTTGTGCAATGGAAAATTCAGAGTCATCATAGTTTGGAGGAATACGGGTGGATGGGGGAAGGTTACTTGCCAAGGCTTCGCCGTCTTTTTATGAGCGTTGCTAAGTTCGCGTTTCAGCAGTTAGGGTCGACGCCTGTTTGCGATAGAACGGAAATAACATGCCCTTTCTGAAAAGTTGACGGAGAATCCCGGAGGACAAAATGATTTGCAGTTTGTTTGAGAGTTTTAACAGAAGTGAATTGACTTTGTTTAAGATGCGTATTACATTAAAGTCTATGATATAGGATCGAATACTTTGCAAGATCGACCCAAGACGGGACATATACGAAGCACTCTAGACAAGGTAAGGAGATACTCCCGCTTATCACTTCCCATGTACTTAAGGCTCCTGACGTACAATACTCACCATATTTATTAGGTGTTTTGATTTTATTCAAGAGAGAGAAGAGAAAGACGCATGGAAGGTCTAAGGGAGACTAGGTCATAAATGTTATCATGCAAAGTGGCCATAAGGTTAGGATGAGAAAGGGAGTTCTACCCTAAAGTTATCATGCTTGGATTGAGAGCCTAATGCCTATCCTACTCCAAACTTAACCAAAAATTAAGTTGGACTAGGAAGCCTTAAGGGAACATATGAGTACAAAGTAATCAACAAGTAAACACAAAATGTCTCAATCATCAAGGAAAAATCAAACACAAAACAAGGTTCAAGTACCAGGAGAAACTCATGTCAAAATATCAAGCACAAGGCACATATCAAGATTAAACCAATCATCAAGGCAAGAATTAATCAATAATCTCATGACATCAAGAATTAAGCACAAAGCTACATCAATAGTTAACCACAAAACCAACCAAAGAATTAATTCAACAAGTCATGAAAATTAATTCACAATCAATCAAGAAAAGACATAATCCACAATCATGAAGAATTATAAAAAATAAATCAATTTGTCAAAAAATATTAAAACAAATCAATTCATTAAAAATTATATTCAATGAAAATTATTTAAACAAATCAATTCTTGGAATATTATCACAAACAATTCAATTCTTGAAAAAAGTCTAAAACAAAATAAACTAATCAAGGGAGGTTCAGTAATAAGAATTAAGGTTTAGAAAGGAATTGGTCTAAAGCCTCAATGTTCAAGCGCAATGACCTCATTCAATGGACAAGGGGGTGTAATATCTATAAAAACGGTGCACATAGCAGCATAGTGGGCTTGTGCATTTGGGATTGTGTGGTGCAAAAAGAAAACTCAAGGGGCCTAAGCCCGATCTAATGGCACAAATCAACTATGGACCTAACATGAACTCAGTGCACAATTTAACACATCTCTTCTTCCTCACATTCAAACGTGGTGGCACCATCATCTTCTTGGCCTTGTAGCACCTCCTATGGTTATGGTTTGATGAAATTCATTTGAGGTTTTGATCAAGCTTATGGCTCCAGTTTTAAATAATAATCTGAATCAAGCAAGAAATCGAGCCAGACAAATTGAACCCTAACACGAATTCAAGGTGATGGGAACTATAAAGGCTTGATATCGCACGAACTTGGGGGAACAAGTGTCACCAAACAAGAGAAGAAAAGCTTACTATTGTAGAGTGATGGTGCTTTGAGTAAGGAGAGTCGAGTTTGAGAGAAGTCTAGAGACATATGCGTAACTTTAAGCTTGTGTGGCCTTCGTGAGAGATAAAACTCTATTATTTTCCTCCCTCTGTGCTCTTTCTTGTGGTTCTTCTTCCCTTCATCTTCTTCAATTTTTCCTCTTCTTGTGATTAATTATGTTGAATTTTTGTTGTTGTCATTTTAACCGTGAGATGAGGGAGTGATGAATATCAGGATGATGAGGGGTTTAGCTCAAGCGTGGTTAGAGTTTCGATTTAAGACTCTAACTGTTCTTTGGTGAGCTCTATAGTGAGGGGGATGGGGGAAAAGAGTAAGAAGTTGCAGAGTGATGAAAAATGTGAAAATCTTGTAGAGAGTGGTGAAATGAGAGATGAGTTGATTTTATAGATGATCAATTTAGTTGAGGGTGAGGGAGAAATTGGGAATTCAATGTGAAAATTTGTTAGAAAATTTGGGAATTTAGTTATAAGTTTTGGTAGTTAGTTTTGTTGGTTTGGAAAATCTATTATGAAGTTGGTTATAATAGAATTGGAGTCAGTTGGATAGTTGGAGATGGC